ATTCTAAAGTACAATCGAAAAGTCTCCAACAATAGCGTGAATGTATAGCCACAGTTGGAGGTTATTGTAGTTGTACATTTTTCCAATTTTTGAAGATTGCTAAATGATCATCTACTAATGACAACATTTATTAGAAAATATATCTAGTTATTATATCGAGCAAAAAGAAAACTATATTGCCTAAACAATATCATCTTAAAATATGAACGAAAAATCTCCTATCATAGTTTAAAAGCAAAGTCTTAGTAGTCGACTACTATAGTAACTCATTTTTTATCCTAAGGAAACAGAAACCTATATTCTTTTAAAGTAATTTAATAGTCTTATAACTATGTTTTACATAAAATGCAAGAAGGTTTATTTTTAGTTGGCGCATACTCTTATTATCCAATTAATTGCTCTATATTTCCGCTAATATGGTCACATTTTCCGATCAACTAAGACACTACTTTAGAGTTCTACGGATATCTCTCTAGCCAATGTTATCTGGGTACTGTGATAGCTTAGTAATATTCCAGCATTATTTCTGTTTCCCTGGTAATATTGCAATGAAAATATAATATTGCGATATTATGTGCTGTGTGGGATATATAGGCTGCAATAAGCAACATGTTCACGAATTTACGTTAGACTAGAGGAAAAGATTTATAATCGACTATTAGATGTACATATCAAGCTGTAATTACAATTTCAAGTATATTTTCTTATAGTTTTATATCAATCTGCGCTTGTAAAGTCCACGATCCGCATTGCAAATATGTAATCTGAATTTAAAATTAATTGGCGAGAAAGAAAAGATTTTCGTAAGTAAAATATTATAAAGATTTCCGTAGATTGACTGCACCAATCAGAGTGGATGCATAGGAGAGACCGGGGTAAATTTTTCGCTAATTTTTTCGAATTTTAATGATAAAACAGTTTGGTATATTTAATTGTTCCAATTGGCTATATAATAATGATAGAGACAACCTTCCTCTACATTTTGATCCTATCGACGATGCTATAAACTGTATAGTTTCGTCTGTGATAATAAAAATATCAATACGCAGTAAGCAGACATACCTGCCCCGGTACCGGGGCAGATACGTTAGCAGCTCGGGGTAGGTCAGCATTACATAAAATACATGTAATTATACATTTTGAAGAATGTTAAATCAATAAATTATACAATGAGATACCATATATGATACTTTTGTGCTTACAATTTTATTTATACTTAAAAACAAAAGGAAATAATTTTATGTAACATACTTTATATGTATATATATCATATGTATACATCATCCATCATGTATTATGTTCGCGTTGCATTGTGTTCTATGATCCTATGATTATTATGCATTGTGAGCTATGTGTTTACTAACCTATTCTTTGCGCGCAGCTACACCAATGCGCACCAGTTCCTCAGTGCTACCATACAGAAAAATTAGCGAACCTACCCTATCTGCTCATTTCTGCGATATTAATAATTTTAAGAATAAAGTTCACTGTTATTATACAAAACAATGTATCATATATCTTCAATAAACTTCATTTTAACTAATATTACATAACTTCAGTTCATTCATTCATGATAGAAAATGCAAGAAGAATATTTCGAGACATATAAAATTTTACTCAACTGACCTCAAATCAGTTTTTTCTTTCTTTTACCTGTAATATTTGCGCGATTGTAATGAAAATTGGAGATAAGTATCTTTACACTAAACGTTTTATGTTTTATGATTTCACTCGAACTGTTTGTTTCACAATAAATACGTGAACGAAACGATTTGAGAACCTACTCCTACTGCGAACCTGTCCCGGTCTCCCCTATTACGTGTGCAATAAATATTAAATCGATCATGTATCTTTTCGTTTAGCGTAAACTGGTAAATAAAATAAAACAATCATTTGAGACCCACACATTTGCAATTACAATTACGAGGTCACTTTATAAGACAGCAAAAATAGCTAAAATTCAAACTGTAATAAATTTCTATGATAATAATAAACGAAAATCCGAAAGAATATCGAATCCGAAAGAAATAATATCCCAAATAGCACCAAGTCGACTATTAGTCGACTGTCAGTCGGCAAAAAAAGTCTAAAGTCGACTTCAAAGTCAGACCGAATGTCAACTTATAGTTGACTAACAGCCGACAAATGACTCGACTATAGTCGACCGTCAGTCAGCCAATAAGTCGACTTAGAAGTCGACTTTATGGCGATTATAAGTCAAGTTTCGGCCAATATTGTGGCGATTATAAGTCAACTTATAGCCAATTTAACATTATTTAAATTTATTATTAAATTTTTACTTTAATAGTGATATTTCTCAAAAATTTGATCAATTTAATTTTATTATATTTTAACTGTATAATATTATTACATTAAAGAATAGTAAAATTATATTGATCAAGTCCTTGGAAATGACAAAATTTATTTTAATAATAACTATAATCGATATATAATAATAAACCAGATAACAATGTTTAATACAATATATTTATTTCTTTTTATAACGCTCTTGAAGAAATTTTTTTCATTATATATATTTACTTATAGATACGTGTAAATATTGCATACATATACAAATAACATCAAAATACATTTAACCACTTATACATATGTGTAATAAATATATATTAGTAATATATTCATTTTTTCAGTAACGCTCTTATTCTATCGCCAGATCGTCGCAACCATTCTTGCATGCACGTTTCGATTTCGCTGATCGTATTGTATATGTAGCAATAGTATTATGTAGCTTCAGAACAGTTGCTACAAACGTAATAATAAAGCCTATATATAAATATCTTATGACATTAAAAGCTATCTTGATTAAAGCACATATAGGAAAATATAATTCAAAAACAAAAGGTAACCCAGTGAACAATAACATAACATCAATGTTATAATTTCTCAATCAACAATGTAACGGTTACATAACATGTAACAGTTTATGTAACAGAGTTATGTAACAGTTACATCGTTGAGTGAGAAATTATAACATATTGATGTTATATTACTTATAAATGTTATGTTATATTGATGTTATATTAGTTTGTGTTCACTGGGTAAGCTCTGAATGTAGAATTGATTATTGCTCTGTAGTGTTTTGATGCTACATTCTGTATATTAGGTACGCTCTTTGTAGTAGAACTAGTGATTGTGATTATATTTAACATGAAATAAATAAAAATATGTTTGAAGTTTAGCGAAAGCGAAAAAGAAAATTTTATAAAGTGTTTATCGAAATTTTGTATAAAAATTTTTCAAGAAATTCTAGAATTTCTAAATATTTTCTTTTTTTATTTCCAAAAGAGGAAATAGTCTCAGTATTGACATATTTTCACAAAGTATTACCGGATCGGACTCTGTCATCCAAGGATGACAGTCCCAGCACCCTCCGGTGCGGCCTTTGCGAACTCTATTTTCAAAGGAAAATCCTTTGAAATTCAAATACGTTCATTGACATATTTTCAGAAAATATTACCGGATCGGACTCTGTCACCCAAGGATGACAGTCCTAGCACCTTCCGGTGCAGTCAATGTGGACTCCGTTTTCAAAATAAAATTCTAGGAAAATCAGTTTTTAAAATTACTCCAAATAATAAATACGTTTTAATAGAGTTCAGTAATAAAGAAAAAGTGCATATAATTATTACCAATTACTGAGTCTGAAAGTTTCGAAAAAGTGTATATAATTAATACCAATTACTGAGTCTGAAAGTTTCGATTTTCTCATTGATAATTTCTTCTTTTGCTGTCCACGTATATGTCTGTGCAACTTCGTAGCCAATTACTTGCCACAATATATTTCTTACATTTTTTGCAACAGTTTCTCCACCAACTTGTGACATTTTTTCAATCTGTAAAAAATGCATTTTATATGAATATATAAATATATAAGTAAATTTATATATATATATATATATATATATATATATATATATATATAATTTAATTATAAAACTATTTCTTCTAATTGCATTAATAAGTTTTGCATGAATAATTAATTAAATATAATAAGATAAATTAACTAAATTTATATAATGTTAAGTAACCAAAATAAAATTAATATTTCAATATATTAATTATTATCAATTATTGAAAATGCTTCCCAAACAGCACAAATGTCCAAAATCGAGTCATAAGACGTCTTTAGGACGTTTTTAACACATTTTTAAGACAATACTTTATAAACTTGTCTTAAAGATAAAATATATAATTTATGAAATACATATTTGTATTTCATTTGTCTTTCACTTTCATACTAAGTAAAACCATAAGAAAAATAGCCTATGAGAGATAACATAGTTATCAATGCATAAATTATAGTACCTATTTATAATAATTGATAAATATAAAATTAATAAAACAGATCGCATACATACAATTTGATAAAAATAAACTCCTTGTTCTGTATCTACTTTACTTATAATATTTTAACTTTAACTATTTGATTTTTTAACTACTTCAAAGACTATGGATTTTAACTGTAGTAAGTGCCAATTATGTATCTTGTAATTAGTTTACAATTTTATCTTTGTATCATTATAAGTACTAAGAAGACTCACACATCTGGGATCAAAACATATGCGATGTGTTTCATTAATTTCGTATTTATTAATCATTATAAGTAGATACCATAATTTATGCACTAGTAATAGCGTTTGGTCTCATCAGGCTATTTTTCCTATAGTTTCACTTAGTATAAAAGTGAAATACAAGTGAAATATATATATTTTATATTTTTTATATTTTATTACACAGTACAATAAAGTGTATTGAGAATTTCGTGATTTAATGATTTTTATACTTATTGATTATTTCTCTATTTATATTCCTGTTTTTATATTTATATTAAACATATATCTTTGCATCAATTTGTGTACAACAGCTTTAATATGCACTGAGTGTGCACTAGTAAACCTACTACTGCGCACCTATTATACATGAAAGCTGTCATATACAAATTGATGTAAAGATATATGTTTAATATAAGACACTCAATCTATTAAGATAATCAGACACTCTAAATAAAACACTAATAAAAAAATGAAAATTTCTAATTGATTTTTGTACTTACTCTTGTGCTTTTTCTTGTACGTTTTTTATGGCAACGCAGCAACACTATAAAATCAGAATTATAAATAAGAATGACAATACTTTACATATATCAAATATAGACTCAGCGAACACAATGTAACATGTAATATATATGTGAATTATAATTTCCCATTTAATAATGTAACTGTTCCATAACACAAGCGTTATATAACAGTTACATTGTTGAGTGGGAAATTATAACCACAATATGTATCTGTACTCTGTGGCTGAACCCCGCGATTTTTATTTTTAAGCAACATTATACATTTCTTATTTACGGTAGCCGATAATTATTTAAGTAGAAATATTTCTACCATAAAAATTGGTGAAAAAAATGAGTGCTAGAAGAATACGAATAAAAAGAAAATAAGGGAGAGAGAATAAGCAAAAGAAAACGCGTATAGATCTCATAGACCTTGGATGTGCCTCAGAATTAAATCGTTTGCTACATACATTACTAAAGATACATTACTAAACTAAATACATTATAAACAAAAGCATATATATATATATATATATATATATATATATATATATATATATATATACAGAGTTGTACGCGTTACTTGTAACGACGTTACTATTTCGTTACTTTTTTTTGGTAACGATTTGGTAACGCCGTTACTTTTTTGTATCAGTAACGAAAAAGTAACAGCGTTACATTTTCTTTAGTAACGAGTAACGAAATTCATCGTTACTTGTATCGTTACTTTTTTACTATTAGATATCTTTTCGACATCTTTTAGACATGCATGTTTACTGGAAAGTTACTGCCCAGGTAGCAAAGTGACGTCTAAAGACGTCATTAAGACGTTATTATAACGTCTATGACGTTTTAATGACGTCTTTAGACGTCACCTTGCTATCTGGGTGGCTATGAAAAGTAACTCGTTACAGTTATAGTTACTCAAAAAATAACGAGTCGTTACTTTTAAGTTACTTTCTTGAAATGATTGTAAATTATTATTGTAAATACAAAAATCTTATATTTTCGTAATTCAAATGACACACTACGATCTTATCTTCGTACATTGTTCGAATAAGTCGATCTCTATTACTGGGCGCTTTGAAAGTCTATAATCTACCGCCTAAATCGGGACAAGTCGATCCATCATTATCGATGCTATGCACGGCACGGCGATATCGGTAGAGCTCACTCACTTCTAATAATGGTTATTAGCTATCGAGTCTCTTAGCGCGTACAGACAACATGTTGGCGTTTCTGCTGTCGGTCCAAAAACTTATCAATTCCAATCGCGAAACGCGGAGGTAACAGGGATTCGTATCGATCGGAGATTCCAATCTCGATCAAATTAGTGAAATTTCCTTCTCGCTGACAATAAATTCCCGCCGGTGTGTGAGTTGCTCGCTTCTACGCCGGTTGTTGCTCGCGGCGACCGGCTGGGATGGCGGCAAAGCATTACTAAAATGTAAGAATTGAATTTTATAATTAATATCTATTATATCAATTAGTTTATCCACTTAACAAATTTCAAATCTGTATTTAACATAATAAAAATTTAATAATAGTCTTGTAGAGGAAAAAGAATTTAATTACATGCTCCATAAATACATTGATAAATTTATTAAATTAATATACGATTATTTTAATATACGATTACTATATAATTTTAATTTTATTTTACGTAACTTATTACTATTACTTATTACTTATAGTTACTTATTTTTCAAGTAACTATTAAAGTAACTGTTAAAAAAGTTATAAGTTACTAAAAATAAGTAACTAAGTTAAGTTACAGTTACCGAAAAAATGTAACTATAATTTCATTACAAGTTACTAGTACTTCTTAACTAGTTACTTCCCAATCCTGGTTCTACAATATATCGTTTGTCAAAGTCGAACGTCGAAATGCAGTTGATGGTCCAATAAAAGAGCTTATTTTTCATAAACGAGTTGTTTTCATTGGACCATCGATTACATTCTGATATCCGACTTCGACAAATGACGTATCATAGAACCGGCCTTTTCTCACGAAACGTACGTGCGCGTGCGACAATCTACGCAGCATTCCGTTTTACGTATATGCATACAATATACGTGACGTATCCCAGCTAGTCAAAGAATCAGAAAAACGTTGGGAAGACGTCCAAAAAACATCATTCGGATTAAAAATCGTCTTTTAGACGTTTATATAACGTCTAATCAAAGTTTCTCAGATTCTTTTAATAGCTGGAATACTATACGTATGCCACATAGCACACAATACTTATGATAAAGATTCATAAATATTAATGTCGAATTATTTTTTAAACATATAATATAAATATTTTATAAATATTTTAGGTACACATAAAGAAAAAAAATATCAAAATCTTTATTCAAAATATTATTAAAATACAAACTAAATATTTTGTATAATATCGATAGTAAACAAAAAATGAATATTTGTAGTAAGATTTTATAAATATTTTAGGTACATAAAGGGAAAAAGTACCAAAATCTTTATTTAAAATATTATTAAAATATAGACTAAATATTTTATACAATATTTATAGTAAACAAGAAATAAGTATTTGTAGTAATATTTTGTAAATATTTCTATTTACAAATATTATATATGAAAAAAGTAAATGTAATTATTTATAACTATTAAATTAATGAAAGAATAAGAAAATCGAAATTTAAATTGGTAAAGTATGTAACGATCGGAAAGAAATCGTTACGAAAAACACAAGAAACGCATAAGACCGCGAAACGGAGTGTTAAAGGACAATACGTCCTCGAGAAAATAAATAGCGAGACCGCCGAACAACGGCGACACATAACGAATCAAGCGTGATTCGCAAATATAAAGTGCCGCGAATTCGTAATCGAGATCAGATTCCGATCCGCTCTTTCGAGAGAAAGAATCCATACCGCTCCTGATAGATTTCTACTCGCAAATACGCGACAGAAATCACTCCGTCGATTCACGGATACGTGACATCGACATTGTTTCCAACACCGTTCCTGGCAGATTGCAGCTCGCGGATACGCGACAGGAATCACTCCGCCGTCGGTTCACGAATACGTGATACCGACACTGCCATTCCTGGTAGATTCCCGTTCGCGGATACGCGACAGGAATCACTCCGCCATCGACGCACGAATATGTGACGTCAATAATCTGGCATACCGATCCTAGCAGACTTCTGTTCGTGGATACGCGACAGAAGTCACTCCGCCGTCGGCTCACGGATTCGTGACGCCGGCACTGAAACTACCGTTATTCGCAAGATTTCACGGCCATCAAGGGCCTGGAATCAACTTACCGGAAGGGCGCATAAACGCAACCTTCACACCGCTCACCGGATCTCGCTTCGCCTTAGCGCAAGTGAGATCACACCGCTATCGAGTCGCCGCGTGCGAACTCGTCACCGTATATTCGAAGCCTCGCTCCGTTGCAGCGCAGCTTCGACACCGCGTTATCCGGATCCGCGTCAGGATCACAACGTCGTCGACCCGCAAGGATGCGAATCGACCTCCGCGATACTAGCAAACCGATCTCGGCAAACAAGATCGCAATCATTCCGTTACCGCAACACATAGGCGCGTCCGCGGCACCATGATCTTGTCAGAACGAGCCGGTCTCGTTAAAGTACGAAGACAAATCTACCAGCTAAGGTTCCGTGTACACAAGGCGGACCGCTGCATAGCATATGCTGAGCCGCACCGAATCTTCGCGATAGGAGAGGAATCGTAACTGAGGTATCGCCATCGAGGCGATACACCGCACACAGCTCAGCTGCAATATCACCGACATACCGCCTATACTGGGCTGCATCGAACCGCAGCAAACTAGCAGAAAAAAAACAGTCAACCGGAATTAAAGAGGCGAACAGCTGAGAGCGTCAACAGACGAACTCACAACGCGACAACAGTCAGCGTTCCGCGCACCGCGCATAGCCTCTCGCGAGCCATCGCCTAAACAAGGCCTCTGGCAGATTGTATACAAATCGACAAAAACCAACGGCGTCGACACTCAACATCGGATTTAATGTATATCGTTAGCTGATTTTAAATATACGATTCAGTTTAATTATTAAATCGGCTGTTTTCAAATTTATTCCGTCTTCTACAAACCTGAACCGGCGAGCAATCCGGAACGCGACGCATCGCGTTTACAAGTATATATCCTGAAAAAATAAATTTATTTCTTTAATTTAATTGCCGCAAGTCATTTCATCGTGCCTGTTCTTTAAATTAAAGAAATATATTTTGTTAAATATAATTTCTTAACTTAAAAAAATATTTGTTACATTTTAGAAAACATGTAATAAATATAAATTAATATTTTTTATTTATAAAATGAGCTGTAAATTTATGAATTTCTAGATAAAAAAGATTTCTTTGACTTTATTAAAATATTTATATAAAAGAATAATCAAATAATTTCCTTACAAGAAGAAAATTAGTTCTTTAATGTATAAACTGTGTTTAAATAAATATTTGCTTGTTTTAAAAATAAATGAAATACAAGTAAATTTGAAAGTAATGAAATATAAGTAAATCATTTTATAAACCTAAATAAATTATTTTCTGATATTAAAAGTATCTTCTTTGTGTTTCAAATGAAAATTTTTATTATCATAGCATAGCGTGTATGAAAGGCCAAGTCAATCTTAATTGAGCTGGTATAATGATATTTGTATAAAATTGTGTATACATGTATATTAATATTGTTCCACTATAAATAAATAAATAAATAAATATATATATATATATATATATATATAT